TTCTCTGCCTAGTACCTACTCGGCGAGTCCCTCCTCTGACTCGTCGAGTCCACTCATTAAATCTGCGCGATCAACTCGACTCGACTCGACGAGTTGGTCCCTCAACTCGTCGAGTCCCTCCTTCAATCTCAGGATTAACATACACAATAATGTCCCTGAAAATCCGGATGTTACACAAATGCACTCCTTAAGCTCAAAACACACTCTCAAATGGTATTAGGGTTTTCAGAAACGTTTGAAGGTGAAAGAGGCTGATTAGTGTGAGGCTCAAATAAGATAAGGGTGCTTATATAGGTCTCAATTCCGGAAATTAGGGTTTGGACATCCGTCACGTACGCCCAACGTACTTTTGGTACGCCCAGCGTACGTGCTGTCCCTACGCGATAAATCATACATAGTAGGCTAAGCGTACCCATGAGTACGCCCAGCGTACTTAAGGGACTTATTATGCAATTTTTAAATCTTCAAGGGATTTAAGGTAATACCTGGTTTGGAGTGTTACAATGGGTTATCGTGGACCGTCTGACCAAGAGCGTCCACTTTCTAGCCATTCGGGAGAGTTTTTCGGCCGAGAAATTGGCCGATTTGTACGTGCGCAAGATTTTTGCTCGGCACAGTATTCCAGTCTCCATTGTATCTGATCGAGATGTTCGGTTCACATCTCGTTTTTGGCAGAATTTCCATGAGGAACTATGTACGAGGTTACACCTTAGCACAACTTATCATCCGCAGACTAATGGTCAAAGTGAGTGGACCATTCAGACACTTGAGGACATGTTGAGAGATTGTGTTATAGATTTCGGTGGGAGTTAGGATTCCTACCTTCCCCTAGTTGAGTTTTCTTATAACAACGTCTATCACTCCAGTATCGGTGCACCGCCTTTTTATCTCCTTTATGGGAGGAAATGTCGTACTCCTGTTTGTTGGGGAGAGGTTGGTCATAGAGTTATGGGATGGGCTGAGGTAGTCCTTCAGATGGCAGAGCTTATTCAATAGATTAGGCAGAGACTTCAGACAACTCAGAGTCGAAAGAAGATTTATGCCGACAAGCGTCAATCCGAGTTGGAGTTCCAGGTCGGCGACATGGTTTTGCTGAAGGTATCACTCTGGAAGGACGTAATACGCTTCAGGAAAAGGGGAAAGTTGGGGCCCCGATATAATGGGCCATTTTGGGTGATTGCCAGGGTTGGAAGGGTAGCTTATAGATTGGATTTGCCTAAGGAGCTCAGCCAAATCCACAACACCTTCCATGTTTCGCAGCTTCGGAAGTGTGTGGCCGATGATTCAACGGTTGTTCCAATGGATAGTGTTCAGGTTGATGATCGGCTGAATTATATTGAGAGACCAGTGGAAATTTTGGATCGGAAGACGAAAGCCTTGCGCAACAAGGTGGTGTCTTTGGTCAAGGTTCAGTGGTAGCGTCAGAAAGGTTCCGAATGGACATGGGAACCCAATTCGGAGATGCAGGAGCATTACCCTGAGTTGTTCACAACAGCAGACTCTAAGGACGAAGTCTCATTCAAGAAGGGGAGAATTTTTGCATTCAGTTCAGGTGAGAATTTGTCAAGTTTAATTTTCAAGGATTTAACCCTACTCAAGACGTGATGAATGTATGTCACGTCGTGAGGAGTTTAATTAATACGCGGATCGTTTTTGGGCTCACGGCGTGAGACTTGCCTGAGAGGAAACTCTAATTTTGGGGGTTTTATTTCTATATTTTAAAGGAAGTGAGGGCTAGGTTTAGCCCACCCCCAGCCTCTATCACCTCTTTGTACTCCCCCTTGAAACCCTAGCATTAATATTTGATCTTGAAGCTTATTTTTGGTGATTTTAGCTAAGGAAAAGAAGAGGAAAGAGCATCTAGTCCATTGTTTCTGCATTCAAGTCTTACCATCAAGCATTTTCACACCTTCTGGACCTTTTGTGAGTTTCAAGTTCATTGCTTTATAAGTTTATAAAGCCTAGATCTAGATTTTATTGCTTTATCCTTCATGCACAAGATGATGTAGAGGTTGGAATCCATAAACTTTCTAACTTTATGGATCACCAGTATCCCTTGAGTAGTATAGATGCTAGATCTGGTAGATGGTCGAGTTTTATGGTTCATGCATGATATTTGGTGTCATTTTCCCTTTTTGTGCCCTAGCTAGTGTTTGGGACATGCATTGGACATGCATGTTCAAAAATCCATGATTTTTATGATGTTCTGGAGTGAATAAGACACTATGGGGGATTTGGTTGCTTTGGCAAAAAGAGATTAAGAGTTTCATTAAGAACTTCTGGACAGAGCGTTCTCACGACGTGAGCATAAGGGTGTCACGAAGTGAGGATGGCATTCCTTAACTGTTTTGGACTTATTAGGTCACAACGTGACTAGTGGATTGTGGGACTTTTGAGTATGGATTGATTTTGACTTTGACCAGGGTTTGACCAAGTTGACCTAAGGGCATTTTTGGTATTTTCAGTATTTTGAGTAGTAATTGATTCTAGTCCCTATTTGATGAATAGGTGACAGGTAGAGCCGATATTCGGAGCATGGATTTATCCAGCTTTTGTTCGGACTGAGTGGTGAGTTTTCCTCACTGTAATTACGGGTCGAAGGCACCAAGCCCGACCCATTGGTTTGATAACCTAATATATTGATTGATGATATGTTAAGTATGCGGTAGATCTGTATGGTTATATGTTAGCTAGTGATAGGCGTTAGACAAGTAGATCGATAGGACTACCTGTGATTACTAGCTGTATGATTTTTTGTCTGCTGAGTATGTCTGTTATTTGTCATATGTCGACATCTTATGTTGGGGTTGATACTACGGATTTGTGCTATCAGTCAACAGACTGGGGCAATCCAACCGAAAGGTTGTGGGCCAAGGGTAATCCAACCAGGAGGTTGTGGACCTGTTATGTATGGGGCATTCCAACTGAAAGGTTGTGGGCCCAGGCAGTCCAACCGAAAGGTTGTGGGCCAGGGGTAATCCAACCGGGAGGTTGTGGACCTGATATTGTTTGATTATCTGTTTGAGTAGTGGTACCTTGGGGGAACTAGCTAAGCTTTGACTTACAATTTTAGTTATTGTTTCAGGTACTTCAGATGACCGCGACAAGGCGAAGGCGTGATCGTGCACATCTTCCAGCTTTTATGATATTGGACCTGGGATATTCTGATTTTGAATAATACTTTTGAAACAATGAATTTGTAAACATTTTATGGATGAAATGGGTTGTTTTTGAAAATTTTAAATTTTTATGAATTTTGGGATGTTACATGTTTTCCCTCTGTAATAGCTACCTAATTGATCCCTTTGCATTGGTTTCTATCTTTTCTATCTTTAATTCTGCTGCATATTCATACCCATTTGGGTATCATTGGTGGTATCAAGCTATGATCACATCGTCTACAATTTAGGATTCTCATCACAAATTCTTAGAACCGGATTCCAAATTAAGCAATAACAAAACAAATTTTTAAAGCATCATAGCTACAGTTACTGCTGATCCATTGGACTACTTATAATTTCAAACGATTCAAAAAAATACGTGAAAAAACATAGAATTACATACCTTCATTGTCTTCAACTCTCAACCTGCAGAGTAATGGTCCTCCCGGTTAGGGTTTTGACGAAAATTTTCTTTTTTCTATTTCTCTATCATTCACTTTCAAGAGGCTGATAATCGCTTGTTGGTAGAAGAAGAGAGAAACGACCGTTTTGTCTTGACAAAAAAAAAACAGAAAAAGAATGAGAGACACCCCCACACATCACTATGTTTTCTCTGTCTGTCACATAAACTATCAAACCTTCGGTTTTAAAGAAGAGGAGTGGTGAAACATAGAAGACGAAACACATGATAGCGAAGAAACCTTGATAACCGGACATACACACATCCCAACAACTATACCACGAATTAGGGCAACAACATACCTGAAGTCATGCATAAGCAAGCAAAAGGGGATACCGACGATCAAAGATGGATAAGAACTCTGATCTAAAGCATCGTTGATGGAGAAACGTTGAAGCCGACAACGAGAATTCGAGGATTTGTAGAAACGAGTATTCGATGATTTGTAGTGTGTTGAGGAAGATGACCGGCTAAAAGCAGATAACCGAATAAACATAAAAGAATCTGCTTAAAACATCGAGTGGTAAGGGAAAATATTCCTAAGCCGCTACGGGAATTAATAATAATAATAATAATAATAATAATAATAATAATGTATATGTAAGTGTGTGTGTGTGTTCAACGATTTGTAGTCTTTAAGATGGAAGTGGCAGGTTGATAGTGGTGGTGAAAGGTAGATGATGGAGAGAAAGAGTCGAGAGGGAGCCATTGGTTAATAATGAAATAAAATAGGGGTGATATAGTCTTTTCATGTTATATTTAGAAATAATAATAATAATAATAATAATAATAATAATAATAATAATAATGTTAGCCTTAAAGATTGTTAGAATGCAAAGTGTTGTCTAAATGGTTCATGAAAAGGTTTTATAAAAAGTGTATTAAGGAAAAATTTAAAATCATAAGAACCATTTGTAAAACTTTATTTAAAAATAATAAATAAATAAAAAGTTAAATAAAATGTACAAGTATTAAGAAAAAGGTATGTATAAAATCTTTTCTAATAAATGAAAATAATTTTGCCATTTATCACTCTTTTATTCATTATGCCACATATAATTTTGTGGTAAATTTAGATTAAAATATATTCATGTGTCATTTTGTGGTTTTTTCCATTTTATTAAATTTTATATAATACTTAATATAATAAATGTAATATTTAACGAATATCTAATTCATTAATGCAACTTTTCTTGTAACTTTTAAAATTTTAAATTGAATCCAATTATTTTAGTTGTTTATTTATTTAATTTATTAGTTTAAATTTAAAAGATAAATAAACACTTCAATTTTAATAATTAATATTTTATTTTTTTTTCTTATAAATTTAAATTTTCTAAATTCTTAGATCATGTTTATTTATTTATTATAAAATGAATATTGGTGTTGGACTCCTCTCAATTCATTCGTAATGAGTTTCTTGAATCTACCACCGCCTTCCCTTCATCCTCTCCTCAATCACAACCACACGTCTCACTCATCCCTCCCCTTTCGTCCTCACGCCACCCCCATTCACCGCAGTTTAACGCTACCTTTCATTTTCCGGCACAAATTCATCTCACCTAAACGAGTCGTATATTCAATTTTACAAACTGACGATGGTGTTGCAACATGTTCAGCGGAGCCTGATAATCCTAATAATGATGTCAAAATTGTGGCTATCGTCGGAGAAGGTGCCGTCAGTCCTCTCAAATCAGCATCCTGGCTTGATGTTATGCTCCACACTGTAAGATATCTCATTCTACCGATGTTTCAGTTTATCATCAATTTTTAATTTTAGTTTGTATCGAAGGAATAGATAACAATCATGATAGTTGAGTTGATCATGCTAGGGATTTCTTTAATGCAATATCAGTTTAAAAATTCGACAACCAGGAAACCGATATTAGATTATTAGACTATTAGTGGTGCGAAAATATCCACGATCTGTTCTACATTTGTAAATTCATCACTCTGATGTATTTATAGAAGTACTAGAACTATGTAGTGAAAGCATCACAGTTTCCGTGAATTTTTTTTTTTTTTTTTTTTTGTTGAGATTGGACATGTGACATAGCATATTTATTGAAACAATTTCATCACATAATAACCGTGTTTCATTTTTATATCAATCTTGAAACATTAAATATCAATCTTTGATGGCATTTCCTAGACTGAATCAAAATTATTACCTACATTTATTCTGCTCTCGTTGAAAACCACATCAAATCTTTCTCATTGTTCTATGAAAACAGGCAAACCGATTAAAATGGGTTGATGAAGACCACGAGATGCGGGTATTCACAGACAACATCTCTGACTCCAACACAAGTGTTGAAAATCTTGAAAGGGCGTTAACATCCGCCAACCTTTTGCTCATTGTTTCCGTGACAAAACCAGACCCCGTGAAATGGATTCAACCTTACATCCAGAAAATCCAAAATGTATTCTGCTTCGATTCGTCACCCGCATTACAAAATAAACTTGGCGGATCATTTGTTCCAAAAGAAAAAAACAATAACATATTCAACAGAATAAGCAATAAAAAAACAAACGAGACAATAGAGCTAGCACAAACTATATCAGAAGCATGGATCCGGAATAACTCGGATGATATACGGTTCTGTTTATTAGTCATTATAAATTCTTACATAAAACCTGTTGCCATTTTAAAGAATTTACGGGCTCAAGGCTTTTCAACCCTAAATTGCATGGTGAAAAACTGTGGACGTCAAGTTCTAAACTGTCTCCTTGATCCTGACTGCAGAAAAGCTCTTGAATGCTTGAATCAATGTAGCCCGGTTGACCAGGTATGCAACTATCAATGCATTGCTTCGTACGAAAGCCCTATTCTTGAAGAATTTTCACTTTGTGTCCTTCAAAAACACAATTGTCTGGATTTAGACGCGAAAATTCCTGAAAAGCCGTTGGTCCCACCGATGGTCAACTTCCGGGGTGAAATATTATCCCATGAGATGGCCGAGGATCTTTTTGTAGGGTGGCTGGGGGTGGGGGATTTCAAGTGGAGTTGGCGGGTGGTTTCTGGTCAAAATCCGGCATACGATCAGTTCCCGTGTCAGTATCAGCTTTTTTATCGGGGAAAGGCGAGGGGTTCGTTTTGGTACGAGCCTGTTTTTCAAGTTAAAACGTTGGATGGTAAGCTTGTGTGGAGGAGACGAAAGTATAGGGTTAAAAGAGGGAAAGTAGTGGGTACGTTTTATTTTAGTGTGTTGGATAATGGAGTTGTGTCGAATGAGTATTGGACGATTGTGGATGTGGCCGAGGATTTTAGTTGGGGTTTGTTTCATTATAGTGGTGCGGCTCGGGTTGCAGGGCAGTGTTACACGGGTGCTGTGCTTGTCAGTCCAAATGGGGAATACCCAAATGAGAGGGAGAAGGATAGGTTACTTTTGGCTTTGGATAGATGTTGTATTAAGGAGTGGGAGTTGTTTGATGTTAATAATTGTTCCTGTAAAGATCCGCCATTGGGAGTGCCCGAGGGTTCACATTTGCATGCCACGCTTAAGCTCAATCATCAAAACTGATGCTCAGCTAGCAAACTCGAAACTAGTAGAAAAGAACTGAATATGATTGTTTATGTATATCTTTCTCGTAATGATTTTAGAGAAAGACTAAATTCTCTTCTCATTAAATTTAGAGAAAATTATAAATTTAGCCAAATCTCTTAATGAATTTACAAAACATAGGCAAAAAATTCCGTTTTTTCATAAAGTAGTCACTAAAATTGCACCCTCCTGCCATTTCGTACCCTCTAACTGTGATTTTTATTTGGCTATGATTTTGTTGATATTGTCTACGATTTTGATATTGTCTATGATTTGTGTTGATATTGTCTATGATTTTTGACATGTTTGACTATTGACATGTTTGACTATGAATTCGTACATTTACACCAGATTATACATAAAAATTATGTAAAAAATGTTAGATTATTACTTTTTTTTTTTTTTTTTTTAATTTTCGTTTCTTAAATGAGTTCTAGTGAATATCGTTGTGATTGTAACCGGCGGATGTGCCAGTCAGTTTTTGACCACCTAAAGAGATCTCTATGCAATTTCAGTTTGATATTTTCGGAGTATATTAATCTTATTGATTTTTAATATTTGGTGAAAATGACAACTGTTTTGATAGATAAATAAAATATTAATCTTTATTTCCAACATCCTGAAATAAATTATTATATAGTCATAGTTGATAGTGATGTTAGACAATTGATCAACATACTTGCTGTTAGAGGAAAAAGTGTTAAGGTGCATGTGGTGGTTGATGCATGTGATGTTGCTGAATGATTTTTATGCTCAAGAATCATTATAGAATGATATTTACTAATGACATATGATCCTATAAAGTCATACCTTATAACAAGTTGTCACTTATTGATTATTTATTAGAATTTAATTACTAATAAATATTATCAACACTTGTATTTTGTTGAGAAATTATTATTTTATGAAAATATTAAAACTAGAGAGAACTAGTTAAAAGATCATATAGTATGATTAAATGTTATTTTAAACATATGGTAGTTCTCTGCATAATGTTATACATTTAATTAATGGGTTAGAGTGTTTGCCACATTTTCTCCATCCTCCCTCCTTTAATGTAACGTCCCAAATATACTAATAAAATTTTTCGTTTTTATAACCATCGAATCAATACATCAAAAGTTTCAAAACCAATCATAGTAAAAATGTATCACAACTATCAGCGTAAAATAACAAGCACCGGTATGGAAATCATAAGGTGTGCAGACAAGCCATGTCCTTCCTTTTGGAACTGGAAGTACATGAAAAATGTTTAAACCACAAACCATAAGCACAAAGCTTAGTGAGTTCCCCAAAATACCACATACCATAAAAATGGGTCAAACCAACATGTAAATGAACCTAACCCAACGTACCTACAATTGGGCCCAACGCAATCATGCAAATGGGCCCCTAACATATATATAAATTGGCCCAACCCAACATACAAATGAGCCTAGCCCAACATACAAATAAATGGGCCCAACCCAAGATATAATAAATGTGCCCAATCCAACATACAAATAAATCGGCCCAACCCAAGATATAATAAATGGGACCAACCCAACTTACACATCAAGACAACTCACCTCAATCTGAAGACAAACAAATCTCACACTCGAGCTGCCGATACTGGAACTCTTCATACTAATTAATACACATTAAGACCCTAATTATAAATTAATGTAATAATTCACACTCAAGGGCCTTAGCTCATAATTACTCTCTCTCTCTCTCTCTCTCTCTCTCTCTCTCTCTAGGGTAAAAGACCATTATACCCTTCCACAACTAGAACCCACTCCACTTGACCAATAATCCAATTTGTCCAAAATCTCCCTTTTGGTGCTAAGTGTAGGATCCGAATGTCGATGACAAATGCAAAATTAAAGAATCAATGCATAATAGATAAGACTCAGTTTAATGTTTAAGCACAAACTTGTATAGATAATGAGGAAAGTACAAAAATGTAGAAGCATGTGCTTGCTTACTACACTACTCTCTCTCTCTCTCTCTCTCTCGAACTAATCTAGAAATCTATACATTGGGAGCTCACTCAAACATATACATGAAAAAATATATATATATATATATATATATATATATATATATACACACACTATCCGTTTACTTGCGCCAAGCGACGGGTGCGATTTTTTTTCTTCAGAAATCAGTTTCTTGAGTCAATTAGTTCTTTTATAGTTCTTTTATGCAAATAATTTGTTACATCTAAACAATTATCACTAAGAGTCATGCCAGTAGAAACGAAATCAATTAAAATTAAAAATGAAAAGTTTGGATTATTTACAAATGTACATGAACACATGTTTGATTGTACATTATTAATCGTGTAACACTTTTTTATATACCACATTTGATGTATAGACTTCACTGCAGTTATTAATCATGCAAAGCAGTAGGTGTCGAATAGTTTGTTTTGTCGATTAGTTTTTTTCGACAAAGTTTATTTAAAATCTGAAATTTGATGATCGAAATGTATATTTTATTTTTTCAGAAAATATATTTTAATGTGAGATGGAGTTGGAAGGCGAATACGGCGGCGATGATACTACACTTTCGAAAAATTGTTTCTTTTTTTTTCGAGGTTGTTAAAATTGTGATCTTGATCATAGGATCCTACGATCTCACGTAGGTAAATTGATCCCGATTTACTTGGGTCATTTTTCGGTAGGATCGCAGTAGGATTATAGGGTGAGATTGTACGATAGATCGTAAGATCGTAGGATCATTAGTATGTTTTTTTAAAATTATTTTTGTTGGACTAACTATGTAGAATAGCCCTTTTAAAAATTTTATGATTAAATGATGTATTAAAAAATTTTTTGTTATGTTTTACAGTATTTATTGTTCACTTGATGGGATGAATATGTATTTTTTATGTTTTAAATTGCTTTTGGTAGAGTCTTACGATTCGATTCGATTTTACGATCACGATCTTGCAAAACGAAAAACGATTACATATAGGATCCCTGTCTTAACAACATTGATTTGTTGTTTTGGGTGAAAAATAAATACATTACGCTTTAGGTTAAAAATAAAGTATGTTGTTATTTTTAGTTAAAAGTAAAAATACATTATCGTTTTGGATAAAAAAAAAATACATTGTTTAGGACTCTAAGTTGTTATTTTGAATTAAAAATAAAAATACATTATAATTTTGGGTTAAAAAGTATTATTGTATTTGGTTAAAGTTAAAATATGTTGCTAATATATGTTGAAAAATAAAAAGTACTCTAAAAAAATCAAATACATATCAACATCACTATTATTAAGGCTTTTTTTTTGTCAAACTATAATTCTTAAAAAAAATAGTTTTTAAAAGAGAGCTTTTAGGCTTTTAATATCTCTTGCTCGTAAAATTATTATTACTTTTATAATTTTTTGATTCCTCGTTTTATCTTATTATATTGATTATAATTTTGATTAATAATTAACAAAAAAACATATATTTTAGTTATTAAATCGATATCATAACATTATGATATTTTTTATAACATAAAATCTTAACATTTTCATATTAAAACTATATTGACTTAATTGAAATTGCATGAAAACTACATATTCATTAACTAAAAAAAACGAAAAGTAAAGTTGTCATATATTAGATAACTCTACTAAATAATGCACATCTATGATTTACTAAATAATGCACATCTATGATTAGTGGAGCAGTACACAGTATTACTTGACAAACATTGAAATCTATGTCTTTTAGGTGATTTGGAAGCTGTATTTTAAGTTTTAAAGTCTTCTTAGGAGGGCAACATCATATTTATATGCCTTCATAGGGTTAATGTCTTAATGATCGTCTTTTTTGTTTTTTTTTGTTTTTGTTTATTCTGCCTGCATTTGTAGCCTAGTCCATAACCTAGAATTCATTTTTGGAAAACAAATGAGTTGTTTAGATAATCATACTCAAACGAATATGAATTACAGAATCAATAGAGATTCAAATTAAACCATACAAAAATCAATTAATCAAATTTTAATGAAACCCAATTAGATTCAACCTCAAAAACATTAAAAGTTACAGAACTTAAACATAATACCCTTAAAAGTTACAGAATTTAAACATAATATCATGGACATATTAAACAACTCATACAATCAAAACCAAACATACTTGCAGTTGGACTTGGACTGTTTGTATCCATATCCTCTGAACTTAAACAACTCATACAATCAAAACCAAGCACATAAAACTTATGATATATGGACAGATTATATATTCTTTGAGCTAACAGTAAGTTGACATATTTATGATAATAGATTTAAGCAAGCAAAACCATAAAGATCTGAAAATGTAAAACATTCCTACATCAATCAATTAAATGCTTCCCTGAAAGGCATTCATGACCAATGTACCTTGCTTTGCTTCCTGCCAACAACAACTAGTATACACACAAATACACATATTTACATAAAAATACACACAAATAAACAAATTCAAAACCTAAACTTGTCACCTCTATTTTTCAGACCACTATGAGATGATTTCTCTATACCGTGGCTGAAAACACTCTGCAAAAAAGAAAAATAAAATAAAAAGGAATCACAAAAAATATATAAGATGTATGAAATCCAAACCCTCAAGATCAATGTACAACAACAATAAATCATTTTATTGGAGCCAAAAAGTCCAAGGAAGAAAGTATAAAATTTTATATGCTCGCTCATGAAAATGAAAAGTACATGGAACTATACAGTAAATTAGCAAGATAAACAGGGCAGTTACTTGAAGCGTAAGAGTCTTCTTGTACTCCATTTGATCCTCCATAATCAACTGTCACATCAAGTACAACTCCAACAAATTTTTATCTACTTGGACTTTATTTCAATCCTCTACAAATCAAAGCAAGCACAAAAAGATAAAAACGATGACAAATATAATTTTAATTAATTATTAACCATTCATACCCTCAATGAATGAAATATATTATATTAATTCCTTCATTCCCTCAACTTCCTTAAATCAGCTTGGTGTATATTCACTGCATCAGACCAAAACAAAATATTAATATTA